GCATTCGTTAACTTTAAGGTGTCAAACACAACAAGTCCTTCATCTCCCAAAAACTTTAACAGCAGAGCAATTTTTTCTTCTATTTTTTTTGCCTTGCCACTAGCCGATAGTATGAAACTTCGAAACTGAGAGTCGCACAGAGTGGCACAGAGACGAATGGAACGGTCTATGCTGGGAGTGACGTTGAGGGACCGAATAAGAAACGAAGATCTGCGAAGATGGACGAGTATTACTGATGTTGTGGAACGCATAGCGGAACTAAAATGGAACTGGGCAGGCCATGTAGCGAGAATGCACGATTCACGATGGACGAGCAAAATTACAAATTGGAGGCCAAGAGCAGACAAACGCAGTAGAGGAAGACCACCTACACGGTGGGCCGACGAGATCAGGCGTATCACTAAAAATTGGCAACAAAGAGCACAAAATCGTGAGGAATGGAGGAGTTTAAGGGAGGCCTATGTCCAGCAGTGGACGTGATAAATAGAGGCTGGATGATGATGATGATGACTAGCCTATAGGTAAACTTCAAATGTCTGTTTGAATTGCCGAAAGTTTTCAGCCACGTTACCTTCAGATGATGATGTTTGAGGGAGTCTAAACTCTATGTTGGTTCAATTTTAATAGCTTCTTGTTCGTTTTCGTTTTAGTTTGGAAGAGCATAATGTTTATATTAAATATTATTACAATACATTGTTATGTTATTACTTTTTTTACTTGATTAATTGAGCAAATCAAAAACATAACTTAATTGTTCTCAGGGTAAAAAATCTCCTTATATTTACCTATGTTGTGTGGGTCCAAAGATTTCCTAGTTGTCCTTTATCGGGATAGAGAAAAAAAATAATAATAAAAATAGTATGTAACAAAAAAATTGGTACTTTTTATTTTATTTAAAGAAGAATAAAACAATTATCAAATTTTGCCGTGATCTTATCAATGAGCGTAAATGAATACAATAAAATTTACACAAAAAGAATATTTTAACCCTTAACCGGAGACACCTCGTCTGTCAGTCGACGCCAAAAAAATAATGGCTGGGTATTAACTGGTAAGACCGCCCACTGGCGTGTTACTTTATCTATTCCTTCTATTGGTCAGTCTTAACAGGTAGTCAAATTTGCGAAAGGAGATTAGTCTATATTGAGAAGTTATAAGAGTTGGTATATGCAGCGTAGTCTGACAGACAACGCGTCTCTGTTTGTGTGTGTGGTTATAGTACTCGTGTATACAAGAATATGGCCGGGCCGTCAAAGAAGCGTGTGCGATTCGGTGATCCAGATTACGTAGAGACTTTAGAGAAATGGTACCAGGAAGATTTCAGCGATACTAGTGATATAGACGACGTCTCCGACGACTATCGTATAGAATCTGAACACGATACAAGTTCAGAGCAAAGTGCTGATGAAGGTAATGAAAATGACGAGACTCTTCAAGAACGTTCATCAGCTTACTTTTATAGCAAGAAACGTAATAGATGGTCTTCTTCAGAAGTTCGTCCATCATCAAAGACTCGAAACCACAATATTGTCATGAAAATTCCCACATTGACCGCCAAATCACGAAATTTTGGGTGACACAGCGGATCCTCTTTCTGTTAGGGGTTTATTATTCAGCCAAAATATTTTAGAGCACATTATGGAGTGGACTAATAAAAAACTTAGTACAATGCGTATGAGCTACAAAGCACCGAATAAAATTGATCTCAGGGACGTTGATCTTATTGAGTTAAAGGCATTTTTACGTCTACTGATATATTCAGGGATATTTGATTCAAATCATGAGAATCTGGAGACTATATTCGCTACTGATGGAACCGGCAGAGAAATATTCAGATGCGTGATGAGCATAAAACGAATGTCAATTTTATTATGTGCTCTACGGTTTGATAAACCTGAAGACTGAGAAGATCGAAAGCAGAATGATCCAGCGACTGCAATTTCCTTTGTATTCAATGCATTTATACAAAATAGCCAAAGTGCTTATGGTCTTGGCCAGTCCGCCACCATAGATGAAATGCTTGTGAGTTTTAGAGGACGGTGTCGCTTTAAAATGTACATGCCAAACAAACCGGCCAAGTATGGCATTAAAATACAATGCCTGACAGATGCTAGGAATAGCTATTTGTATAACGCTTACATTTACTGTGGCAGAGATTCGGATGGAAGAGGGCTCACTGCTGAAGAAAAACAACTCTTAAAACCCACTCAAGCAGCATTATGTCTCGCTAAACCACTTTTCAATAGCAATAGAAATATCACGGCCGACAACTGGTATACGTCCATACAGCTAGTGGATATTTTGCTAAAAAATAAATTGACGTATGTTGGCACAATGAAAAAAAATAAGGCCGAAATTCCACCTAATTTTTTACCTGACAAGAAAAAAGAAAAGGGAACTACAATTTATGGATTTAGAGAAGAAAAAACTATAATATCTTATGTTGGAACAAGAGGAAAGGCCACAATACTGGTATCCTCAATGCATGATAGAACTGCCACTGATAATAAAGTAAACAAACCCGAAATCATTGCTTATTATAACGGAAATAAAGGAGGAGTGGATAGTATTGATGAGAAGTGTTCCAAGAGTTCTTCGAGTCGCCGAACTCGTAGGTGGCCAATGGCAATATTTTTTCGTATTCTGGATATCTCCGTCGTAAATTCCTACATTCTACACCAATGTTACAAAAACAACGCACAAATAAAAGAAAAGAGTAAGTTTGCCCTACAATTAGCTAAACAACTAGTGCAACCACATATGGAGAGACGAATGATAAATGTGCATATACCACGAGAAATACGTCAGACCATAAGCCGTATCCTTGGCTCTACAGTAAAATCACCGGCACACCCAAATATCCATATTCTGGAAAAGAGAAAAATATGTCAGCTCTGTCCGTCAGCCAAACGTAGAATGACCAAATATTTATGCATTGAGTGTCGCAAACCAACATGCCTTCAGTGTACAAAGCCAATTTGTGACAAGTGCATTGAAGAAAAACAGTAAACTTTGAGGATTGCTAAAAGAGCCCCAGGACATCATATTCAGTGTTGTTTCACATTTTTTGCTTTAGTGATTGTTGTGTTATCTTTTTTATTTTTTCAATTTTTTTTGTTGTTAATATTACGGTTTGTAAAAAAATTTCTTTAAAACTTGTTCAATACTCTTTCTTTTTAGGTTCTGTCAAGATATTACTATTTTTCTTTGTTTATAATTGGATTTAATTTAATTTTTTCATTCTACTTAATCCAAAAGGGTTACGTTTGCCCATATTTATTAAAATATTACAGACTTTTATAGTATTTTATTTATTTTCGCCAACTAAAAAAAGTCGTCTCGTAGACGATGCCTCTCTGTCTACGTAACAAAGCTGACATGTCTCCGGTTAAGGGTTAAGTATTCTTGAAGACAAAACCAATTTAAAGCCAATTTAAATGAATATCTAAAACTTTTTATCTTTCTGATTTTTTAATATTTATTTTATTGCAAAAATAAAACTTTAAAACATTTTACAGATGAAGTCTACTCTTAAGTTAAAATGGTAACGACAATGATGTCAACAAAATTCATTCACAGTTACAAAATTTTCAATTCTGAACAGAAAATCACTAATCTTTCCTTTATAGATTGTATTTGGACCATACTCAGAATCGTCCACACTCCACAGCAATGTGATCTGCCATTGTTCGCCTCGACTTTCTTCTTTTCGTATCTGCAATCTTCCTGCAGCGACTGTACGAAACACCTGACTCAATTCCTGACTTGAAATTTAATTCTCCAAACACTCAGCTACTTCTCAATGACACAAGGACCTCTTTCTGTCAACTTGGTGCCGCCAAACTATTTCTTACATATTCCAGAAACTGCCCACTTTAGATCCAAGGATATCTTTTCATCATCTTTCATCAACTTGTAATCTCCTTCCACAATTCTACTAACTTTCTTTCACAATGCCGGTAGCCAAACTCACGAACACACCCTCTATCGAGACGCGACCTTTCCTTTCGATGATCAAATGACAACTGCCCACTCTCTCTTATACATCGACTATCAATTCTTCATTCAAAACAAACTGTCCAATCAAAACGGTTTAATTTGGTTACAATCATTAAGAAAGAACCCCATTACTGTTTCCAGAGAAACTAAAATTTTGGCTTTAAAACTGGCTTCCCTTTGGTTACAAATACATAATTCATTCCTATAACAAAAGGTTATTTACAATATCTTAATCCTAAGTCATATACAAACAATGAAAAGATTATAATGAGTATGGGCTTTCTAATTCTATATAAAAAGATTTTACTTGCGAGTGTTTAAAAATCAGTTGTTGACAGACAAAACTTTCTGTAATCTAATCTTATCTTAATCTAATACATAAATTTTGTTTACCAGGATGTCTTGGAAATTTATTTAAATGGTCTATTTATTAATTTTTATTTTTCTCTTTGGCTGAGAAGAAAAAGTATGACAATATATATATATATATATATATATATATATATATATATATATATATATATATATATATATATATATATGTTTGTTTTGAGGTTTCCGCGGGAGCTATATGTGCTGTCACTATTTTTCCGGGTTTGACTCCGCGTTGTAAGTACACCGCGGAGTCAAACCCGGAAAAATAGTGACAGCATATATATATATATATATATATATATATATATATATATATATATATATATATATAATAACGGATTGATTACGGCTGTCGCTGCTTCTCGGCCTCATCTTTTTCTTCTTGGCGGCAAGAGACTTCTAAGTCTCTTGCCGCCATTGCTTCATCAATAATATCGTTGCGCCAACTTCTCCGTGGTCGTCCTTTTTTTCTTCTTTCAGGAGAATTCCACTCCAGCTAGGCCATCTGTACTTTGGCATTCTTTTAACATGTCCGAACCAGATTAATTATTTTATTTCTATGACATCATTGATATTTCGCACCATAATATTACAAGCTGTATTTAAATAATGTTGGTATATTTTAGGACTAAGAGAACAACGACGTTCTACAGAACCAACTGATGGAGCACTTAGAGCATCGACTGGTCCATGGCTGTACATATTGCTAGCAGCAGGGTCAACTTTTATGATAGCAGCAGCCATAGGAGCAATAATATATGCAGTAAGAAAATTTAAGGTAGGTGTAACATCTTTTATCAACCTTTAGTAGACATTAAATATTTTAAAATAATGAAGTTGTACAAGTAATAAATTTAATATATAAAAAATGAACAAGTGCAAAACGGGAAACTGTATACTTATAAGATTTTTTCGCAAATTGTACCATGATCAGAATACATCAGCAGAGAATTAGATCTACACCAATATATAAAAGTAAACAAAATTTCTTCAACAGAAATCCTAGACATAATACATATACGACAAACAAATATATTTTTCCGCAAATCGCCAGGAAATTTTGACATTCCTGTCAAAATTTCTTGAAGAAAAAGTCAGGACTTCCTTACTGTAAGACAATGTCATTTCCTTACTGTAAGGAAATGATATTTCCGTACAGTTGTTAGTGTTCTACATAAATGTATGTCAAGTTTGACAATTCAACCTCAATACGTTTCCATAGTAACCCAAGTAATTTTATTAGGAATTTCAAAGCTTCATTTATTTGGGAATAAAATTATCGCGTTTTTTTTTAATCAATCAATATCTGTCGAATTTTAAACGATTTGCGGAAAAATAGTATGTTTACCTCGTAAGAAAAGCCACATTTCTGGACTCTGTGTTGCTAAGTCTCGGCTTGCGCCTCGACTTAGCAATCTTCACAGTCGTCCAGGAATGTTAAGCTTTTTCTACCCGGTAAACAATGTACTATTTTCTTCAAACGTCAAATAATGATGACATTACTTATCTAACTGGATCCTGTCAAAGTTTGATGTCTCCGCCAGCAGCAATTTTTTTTCCCATTTTTTTACGGCGGCGGATGGAAAAATGTTGTCATGGCAACAATATGAAACATCTCACAAAGCAACAATACAAATGTCATTAACACAATTAAACATCATTTTTATTTATAGTAATATTAAAAGTACAATTAGTTAATAAGGCATTTTTAAAATTGAAACCGTGCAAAAATGTTCCAGTCTCTTGATACGCATTGGTAATTATTGATGATACTGATGGTCGAGAAAAACTTTCAGCAATCATTCCCGATGTTGGCGAATCATGAGGGTTTAAAATTTTTTGAGCATTATCGTTCTTATTTCTTATTGAATCCTCTGTATATCCTTCGGCAACCGTGCTTGATTTCCAACCCCCACGTCGCCGACGACTTAATTATTTTAATTTTTAACATCTAGACGACTTTGATAGTTGTCACAGTTAATTTCGAGTAAAAATAGCGTATGAATTGTACTATTTATGGTTGAAAATGGCTACGTTTGAAGAAAAAATAGTATACTTTATTCGGCAAAGAAGCGACTTTTCTTGACTTGCCCTATATTACGCGCCTCACTTCGTTCGGCGCGTATCGGGCGCGTCAAGAAAAGTCATGCTCCTCCGCCTCATAAAGTAATAAACTATTTTAATCGTTCATTTTTAGTTCATGCTAGAAATCATTTTTCATAATCAAAAATTTTTATGAAAAATACTGTTCACAACCAACCTATTTTTAGGTCTGTTAAGTCAAACTGATTATGGTTATACATGAAAGAAACATGCCAAATCCACCATTTTGGGGGAGGAGTATTATAATTGAACAAGACTTATAAAAAAAATGTTTTGGATAATGTCACACATATGTGACATTGATTTATGGTAATAAAAATTTGAACATAACCCAAGTGTCACAAACATGTGACATAAAAATTTTAAGCTACTACTTATAAAAAATTTATTAATTTCTTTAACATTAACAAAAATAAAAATTACTTGAAATAAAAAACCAAAATAAGTGTAATTGTCTTTTCTGCGCCACTCAGCAAAAAAGGGTGTAACACATAACCCAATAGGCTGTCCAACACTCGCATTACATTTCTGACATGTGTACCTACCAGGTACCGACAACTTTTTTTTGCTTGGCCGTTCTGTTTGTCCCAATAAACGTTTGATAACTTCCTCTCTAAACTGAATGTATGACATTCTTGTTTTCTTTGACGTGCTTCTATTGTTATTCAACTACCAGTTGCCATTCCACATACAAATATTTACGAAGTAAAAGAAAACTTTCATGTACCATCAAGTTTTTCGTGGTGTGCCACAATATGAAGTCATCTGGTCAATTCCGTCAATTCCAGATATAACGGAATTGTAGTCGCGTATCATTACTGGCTTCAATTTTTCTGGCCACTACGATTTTCAACTTTAACCATTTCGGAACCATGCTTGGATGAAATTATTATTACATTTCGCTTATTTTTCCATTTTAATACTCTGATTGGGCCTCTTCCTTTTCATACTACAACTTCTCCTTTCTTTAATTTTTTTGTAATATCACTCTTTGGCTTCCTTTTTCTTTTTTTTTCTTAGTGTTCCATAAACTTAGGTCTTCTTTTCAATTAAAAACTTGGCAAACTCATAACTGTTGTAATAATTGTCCTTGTATATAGTTTGAACCTTCACTAAATATTCAGTAACAATCCTGTTAACTACTTCAAACGCATGACCATTTTTATTTACTGCTGTCTCCTTTCCACTGTAGATTAGGAAATTTAATAAAAATCTATCAGGGCTAGTAATTTCATAAATTTTTATTCCATATTTACTAGTATTTTCCACATAAACTGTAGGAATATTAACCGCCCTCTCCACAGTAAGTGAGCTTCGTCAAGACTCTTGGATAGTAGACTTTAGAGATATTATTTATAATATGACTCGTAACGTTTTTAATTTTGTGAAGTCGATTTTGAACTTCTACATCTTCCGGCTTGTAAAAACACATGTTTTAAAGAATAGCTTCAATTTTGATCTTTGTGTAGTTTTTTTAAATATAGAAAAGTAATATAGTGAATCTGTGCTCCAGTTTAAACGTAAAGGAGGAAAGTTTTATGTTTCCATTAATATGCAGAGACCCAAAATTAAGTCGTCAATATTTATATCTATCCAGCGTCTTAAAAATGAATAAGAAATGATTACGAAAACACATGTGTGACGGTTGGTTGTGAATGTGTTAAAACAGCATATTCATTTAATAATATACTCCAGTCGTAAGAAACGAAAATGGTACTGAACCTCTAAAAATCATATGAAAAAGCTGAATTTTACTGAGAGTGTCAGTTTTGGAACCACAAAAAAGATGCAATAAAGTTTACCACTTCCACCTCTAAGCTTTCCCTTAAAAATCCCTCTTGTAGGGGGAGGAACACGGAAAAAATTGATTTGCCAAGAATTTGTACACCGTAGAAAAAAATATTTCAAATAAAAAATGTAACTGAGATAATTTTGAACAAAAATGTTTAGTAATTACTGTTAAACTGGGAATAAGCCACAATTAAAGATAAAAATACGTTTATTGACGTTTCAATTTTTACTGTTTGTATTTTGAGAACGATTTCCGAAGTGGAAATTGAAACGTCAATAAACGTATTTTTATCTTTAATTGTGGCTTATTCCCAGTTTAACAGTAATTAATTTACAATGCCACAAGAAAATAGCTTCAGAACAAAAATGTTTATTACCACTTTTTGCATATAATGGACCGTTCTGTCAGAAACAACGCTTGAAGTAACTGACGGTTTTGTTACGTGCGCAAAATCAATTTTAAATTTGTATTAACTCGACGGTAAAAATTCAATATCTTTAGATCAGAGTCTCATATCAACAAAATACAATTGCGTTTTTCAAATGAAGTGTGCAGCTTTCATATGCAATTTCTGTATGTTGCAGTAAATAAAGTCATTTTTTATAGTGGTGTTAAATAAACGTTGTACGTTTTTTGATATTTTTTACGATTCTTATGGGATTAATAAAACTTTCATTGATTTTTTTTTTGTTATCAACTTTTTAATCCCCGGTATCAGTCAGTTGTTTCAAGTTAAAAAAATTATCTTGGAACGTGTTTTCGTAACATCATAACATCGTAACTCTTACTGTAGTTCATTCTGATTAATGTGACCTATTATTCTGGCACAAATAAGCGAGGCCATTGAAAAATTGTACACTAAATTATACTCGGTAAATACACAACCACAACAACGACGTTCTGAACGAACAATAATTAACACCGGCTCCGAAGAAATACCAAACATAACCGACTATGAAATAAGAATGGGCCTAAATCAACTAAAAACGAATAAATGTCCAGGAGAGGATAAAATTACAGTTGAAATGTTGAAAATTGGTGGCAGAACAATGGAACAGGTATTAAATGTTTTATTTAATAAAGTAATTGATGAAGGAAAGATTCCTCAAGAATCGTACAACTCCGAAGTCATTTTACTATTCAAGAAAGGAGACAAAGCAAACATCGAGAATTACCGACCAATATCCTTGCCATCACATAACTATACATAAGCTTGATTTCTATCAACCTATCGAGCAGGCTTGATTCAGAAAACATTTTAGTACCATAGAGCACTTGCACACCGTAAGAATACTAATAGATAAATGCACCGAGTATAATGTTCCAATTTATATGGCGTTCGTCGATTTCCATAAAGCATTCGATTCCATCGAATTATGGCAGTGCTTGAATCTCTAGATAATGCACGTATAGATTCAAGATACACTAACATAATTAAAAACATATGTGAAAATGCCACCATGCAGATAAAGCTGAAGGAAAGCACAAAAACTAATCCCATAAGATTACAACGAGGAGTAAGACAAGGAGACACCATCCCTCCCAAGCTATTTACCCTTGTTCTAGAAGACATTTTTAAGAAACTAGAATGGAACAACAAGGGTATGAAACCACTTGAGATTCGCAGATGACATAGTTTTAATACTTGATAATATTCAAGAACTAAATGATTTGTTACAACAATTAAATGCAGTTTCAGGAGCGGTAGGCTTAAAAATGAACTACAGTAAAACAACAATACTAAGCCGACACCAGACAAATATAACAGTACAAAGTTATAGCATAGAATATGTTGAACATTATGTATATCTAGGCCATGTCATCAAACTAGGAAGACCAAATCAAAATACTAAAATTAAAAGAAGAACACAATTGGCATGGAG